CCCGCCATTTTGGGGCCGCCAGTCGACGACCTTCGTCGGGGACATGGCGGCCCACGGCCCCTCAGGATTGCCCTGCCATCGCCCTGGCTCCGGCCTCCTCACATGCCCCAGGACAAGCTGGGCCTCCATTTCTTTCCGAACTGCTCCCAGTGCCAGGAATCCCAAATCCCTCTGGGGAGGTTCAGGCCCCTCACGATGAACGCATGCCGGGAGGGCCTAGTGCCACGCTGCCAGGCGCCCCCCTTCAGACCCCAGCCCCTCGCCGCTCCTCGGCGAGACCTGGTTTTCCTCAGGCTGCCCAACAACATGCACCCCTCACCTCCCAGGGATGTCCACCTCCCCCAAGCCAGCAACCAACCCAATAAATAAGCACAACAGCTTCCTAATCCTTCAAATCCATGTGGTTGCCATGAAAAATGGCACCCGGGCGGCGTTTGGAGGACAGCTGTGCAGTTTCGCAGCTCAGTCAACGTACTGATCCCATGGTGGCTCGAGCAACACCAAAGTCTTGTCCCTGCACAGGGATGGCGGACCAGGTTTAGGGCGAAACGATCCTCTGCGGGCAGCTGGCAGGGACATGCACCCACAGCAACACCCCCCAGAGGGGTGGTTTTGGGGTTGTTTTTCATCCCATCCCCATCCTCTGCATGCAGATGTCTCGCAGGGCAGCTCAGTCCTGCCATGAAACACGAGGGGCCCAGGGGAGTCTCCTGGAGAGAGCGGGGCCATGGGGCTGGGACTGGGGCAAGGAGCAGGACGAGCAGAGGAATGTACCAGGAGAGCGAATAATTCCTCTGGGATAATTTTTCTCGCTGCTCCAAGCTATGGTTTTGGAGGTGTTGCTGGCAATGAGATGAGGAGCGGTCATAGCTGGAGCCATTCCCACAGCTTCCTCCTCTTCAGAGCATAATTTTTCCTCAAATACGTGCAAGTTCCTGCTGCAGCCCCGGCGCTGCACCAGCTCACATCATGGGCCACCCTGGAGCAGGACCAAGGGTCCTTGACATCTCCCTGTGGAAGCGAGCTGTCAGTCCCTCTTCCCAGGGTGAGGGTTGAACAACTCTGAATGCAGAAGAAAGCCGCTGGAACAAGAGAGGGATTCACCCCCCTCCACTGTCCCACAGCTTTACACTCACAAGATTCAGCTCCGGGGAGACCCGTAATTATCTATTTCCAGCATCTTCAGCAGAGCGTGAGGACACAGTAGTGCAGGATTCAGTGATTCATCAGTGACCTTCAGGCACCATAGATGTCCTGTTAAGGGGGACTAAGATAGTCTACAGAGGCTGGTAGCCGGTCTGCTGTGACTTTTAAATTCTACATTACATTGCCTTTAATTTGCTTTAAAAGTGGGATAATTGTATCATAAAAATGGCATATGATACCTATCCCTTCATTACAGTGGAATAATTGAGAGTAGCAGAATAAAAGTAACAATAGCAAAGTAAATTGTAATATTTTGCAATATTTTCAGTCCAGGTTATTTTCTAAAGACACAAATCATCCTCCTCCTGAGCTTATCATCTTCCTCCCAAGAGCCGGCGGTGCTGGGAGGCAGCACTGGTGTGCACTGGTGGGATCATGCCTGGCGCCTGGCGCTGTTTCACTGCTCGGTCCCCTGCAGCCCGGCATCTCCTCAGCTGGGAAACCACAGGCTGAGACGAGTGTCTTGCTGTGGAAGGAGTTCAGAGTGGCTCCTGCTCTGACAGCTAAAGTCAAAGCACAGCAGAGCTCGAAGAACATGTTTCCACATAAAACGCCCTTTGGCTGCAAGCAGCAGCTGTGGCTACACTGAGAATGACTTTTATTTGAAACATATTTATTGACATTTGCGTCCCCTCCCAGGGGACACCATGCAGACAGCTACAGTCCTGTGTCCTCCTTGGTCCTTTTAACTCCTGACACAAACAGATGGGCCGGGGGTACCCTCTGCCCATGAGGGCCCAAAACTGCCCCAGGGACCCCACTGCTCTTGGTACCCTCAACACACGAGTGCAGCTGCTCCTGGTGACCAGTGATGCCCGAGATCCTCCCAGTTCACCCTCTCAAGACCTTCAGCAGTGCCTGGAGCAAAGGTTACATCTTCTAATGTCTTCATCTCGCCAGTCCATCCCCATCAATGATGCTGGTGTGAGACCCACCACCTGGAGGCCTCCCAAGCTGCTCTGCTACCTGAGCGGTACCTCAGTTGCTGATGGTCATCGTAAAAGATCATCCATTTTTCAACACGGATGGCAAGTTTTCAGCCAAATGCTGACCCTGGTTTAGGATTTCTCCTGCTTAGCTTTGGGATTTTACCAGTAGAGGGCAGGCCGGGATTGCACTGCAAGCGGAAAAACGCGTAAGCGCAGGAGGGAGAGCATTTCACCCAGGGCAAGGAACAGCAGAACTCAGATAAGCAACATTTTTCACCCAGGGGAATTTGGGAGAGCAGGACTCGCTCACTGCTAGAGCACCTGCTGCATAGCAAATCTCCCGCAGCCTGGAAGTGGCCTCGTCCCCTCCAAGTAGCAGGCAAAGGCTCGTTCATCAGGACCCTGTTTCGTTCCAGCCCTGCTGCTGTCAGAACTGGAGGGGTGTTTAACAGCGCTGTGTGCCACCGAGCAGCCCCAGCCGGACTGCGCTGAACGCAGCCCACGCGTTCCCATAGGCCTCTTCATTATGTTTTTTTGCCTGAAGAACAAGGATGAAGAGAGTGCGCGGAGAGTTCGGGGATTTCCCCTACAGGGTAGATCAAAAGTTGCCAGGATGTGTTAGAGAAGACATTTAGGCTAAAGAAAACCCTGGGGAAAAAAATGAAGCTCCAGTCCCGGGCTACTGCTCTAATCACCATGTTGCTGTGGGGAGAAAACCCCACGGGCCTGAACCGATGCCCTCCCACGCGCTCCAGCTCCCGTTTGATCAGCAGAGATCAGGAAGTGGTTTTTTTTTCACTGTCTCTGTTTTGTTTTACCACTGTAGCCCACGGGGCTGGTTTGTATGCCTGCCTCCCACAGAGGGTAATTTGGTTCCTCTCTCTGGCTGAGGCCACACCAGAGCACTGAGCTCCCACCGCCGCCTCCAGCCGGGTCGGGGCAGCCCAGGCACCAGTGGGACTACCCGTCATCAATAGCCCTATTATTGCTCTTGAAGTTTCTCTCCGCTTCCAGACGGATGCTGTGTTACTCCATCACAGCTGCAGTTGCTCCCTTCCAACAATTCCCAACACAGCACTTAAGGCAGGGATTTATGGGCGGTTTTGAAAGGCATTTTGGAACGAGAAGGAGTTATGGGAAAGGAAGTTGAATTCCCACCATTCCCCGGAAAATTCTCCCAGCATCTTTCACGAGAAAGATCATTTACTGGTCCTTTCCTCAAAACAGAGACAAGCTCTCAGCTGTGGCTCTTTGTTTAGTCCAAAGCGTTTCCCAACAGCAAGATGCAGCAGGGGTTATTCTGGTCCTGCTTGCAAAGGGTCAGGAGACCGAGGCGAGCCCTCGGCGTCTGGCTGCAAGGCTCTGCTGGACACGATTTGTTCCCTGACATTTTTGTGGACGCTGGTAGCTAAATGAAATGATTTGTTCTCAAGCCACGGATTATTGCCAATCTCAGGGCAAGCGTTGCTGACTATCCGGCTGATTTTGACTCACATAGTGGTTTGCAAAGTAAAAAGTCACGGGACCAGAGTTACGAAGAGCAGCAGCTATAAAACGACCAGCAGGGATGTTACCTTACAAACTACATCTTACCTTTTTTGAAGCTTTTCAGGAACAAAAGCTCACCTGCCGCAAAACTAGCAGTCATCCAAGCAGGCTGGATTAGCAGAATAGATTCACATCGACACTACATTTCACAACCAGGACAGGGGTTTGAAAGACTTTATTTGACACCTTTGCTGGATGTCACAGCTCGTGAATCTAACAGCTCTGCACAGTGTAAAGTGAGGCCAGGCTACTTGCTGTGAGCTCTAGCGTGCCAACCAGCCACAGGAACAACCGGGGTCCGCGAGGACCTCCTCTGACTTTATTAAAAGGGAATATGTTGTTCCTGGCTGATTCTGGCACTTCAGGACAAGGGTGAGGAGAAGTAGCAGAGGCATTTCTGTGTGTTAAGTGCGATGACTTTCATCAAAACAACTGGGAGGGACTCACTTTCAAAACAATAGCAGATAACATACATGCACATGGCAGATACAATCTGTAGGAACGAAAACCCCAGCTCATCCACATGGTCTAACCGGCTGTGCGTTTGACCTGAGGCGTGGGGAGAGCCTCTCCCATTCAAGAGAGATCTTCTCCCTCTTTTTTATCTTTCTTTGCACTGACCTTTCCACACTTTTCTCTCTTTTCATGTCACAGTGCTGTAGAGGCGGGCGAGACTCCTCGGGGTGGGCATGGAACTGGGTCCAGGCTAATCTGCACGTGTATCCCAGCAAGTCAAGGCACAGATGCAGGGAGCAGGGACTGTTCAGACGAGGGGGAGCACTGGGAGACCCTGCCCTGGCCACCATGGCAGTTAGGGACATGGCACAGGAGCAGGGTAGCTCAAGAGCTTCAAGTTTCTGTTCCTTTCTGCCCGAAGAGGGGAGGACAGCTGGAGGAGCAGAGGCATATCTGCTGCGTCAGTTATCTAGGGGCACGCAGGCCAAGGCAGAAAAAGCTCTCGGGAATCAGGACAAGTGCAGACCCAGAGCTTGCCAAGGTCTGCGGTGAAACCTCAGTGGCTTTTCGTCCTGGCCCAGGGAGAGGCATGAGCAATGTGAGACCAAAACATGGTGCTGAAGAAAGAAAACAGAGACGTTGTGGGAGGAGAGGGTGAGGGATGCAGGGCTAAGAGAGAACAAGGGAGGCACTTCAAATGCAGGCTGGTCCGACCTATTCTCCCCCCTTTGCAGTCACGGCTGTTCAGCAGGGGACGGAGGAGAGACGGCTCCAGTGGGGAGACTGGCAGAGGGAAAGGCCTTTTCTTCTCACTTTGGCCGTCAGAGCCTTCTCCTCCGTGACAGACGTCCCTTTGAAATCCTCTGTCTCACCTCATCTCATCTCGCCTCTTCACACCTCGGTGTGGAGCAAGGGCTGCAGAAGCCTCCCTCCGCCCAGGCACCCTGGCCAGCTGCTCCTGCACGGGTTGTGCAGGGACCCAGCACAGGCCCTGAAGACACGGCAGTATTTCAGCTCGGCTGTGGGAACGAGCTCTGTTAAGCTGTTGCCTCACTCCACCTTAAGGGCACATAAGTGGGAAAAGCTGGTAATGCAGCCAGGAAAGCATGGGGATTAGCAGGCAGCCAGTTTGTTAAGGGAGCTGGGGGGGTTCTAGCCTGCCTTGCCGGGTGCCAGCAGTGCTGGGGAGAGGGGTGAGCTGCGTCCCTCCCACCACACCAAAATTAGGTGCCGCAGCTGGGGGACGCATCGCAGGGAATCAGCATGAGCAAGTCTCTGTCTGGCAGCTCTGAGTCCCCAAGGAAGTAAGACAGTATTTCAAGGCTGGCTTTTTTCCAAAGGAGAGCAATGCTGGGCTCTGCAGAGGGGTTTGCTGGAGGAGGGACAGGGTTGGGATCTGCATGTGCCCCCTCCCTCGTAGCCAGAAGGGTCTGGAGTACAGCCGCGTGCAGACAAGTGCATCAAATTGGATGTGATTTACGTTTGCAGGCATCACGAGGGAGAGGACATGTGATGGTGAGGCAAGGAAGGCAGTGCGAGGAGGGAGGGAAGAGTAAAGAGAATTTTCTTTATGGATCCTTGGCTTCTGCAAAGCAGGAAAGATGCCTTTTCAACTGAGTTTGTTCTTAGGCCTGTGGGCAACGAGTGCTGAAGAATTCCTGTCTCCGAAGGGGAGGGGAGGGTCAGAAAGCCCCGATTTCAGTCGCCCAGGAGCGGCAGATCCTGGATGTCCCAACCCTGATCCCCGGTCCCTGCGCAGCAGCACCCAAGGCGGGAGGCACCGTGTAAGCCGGTGGAACAGGGACGCCGGCGGAGGCTGGCGAGAAGAGGAACGTCGCGATTTGGCTGCTCTTGGACGAACCCTCTCTCAACACGCCCGCTGGCGACGGCATCCTGGGCACAGCTGCTACAGCTGCAGACGAGCCCGTGCCTCGGGCCCTCCGGCTGGAAGAGGCCATTCTGCTGGCCAGGAAGCTTCGGCGGGACGGCAGCATGTCGCTGGGGACACGGCGAAGCGGGGCTGGCCTCACAGCAGTGCTTGGGTAAGCCAGGGAAGATGCAGTCAAAACAACCGGAGCGGGAGCAGCCTCCCTCCTGGGGATTTGCACGGGGCCAGCAGTGCTGTGGAGGAAGGACCACGGCCACGTCTGGATGGGCAGGAGGGAAGTGGCCACAGGCGAAGGCTCCATTTCTGCCACGTAATTATTGAGGTGGGAGAGGAGTCGCAGCCGGATGGGGTCGGCAGCGTTTTGGCCCTCGAGGACACCTAGGTACCTGACAACTTCAGTGAGACATTCGCGGAAGCCGATACTCCTGTAATCCACGGCCAGAGCTCGAGCATCTAAGAAGCCTGTAGGGAGAGGACACGGGTGACAGTAAGTCCATGCAGAGCTCAGGAATGTGCTTTGATTTCACTACCCTCTCTAATGCACTGTGTATTTCACTTGAGGCACTTTGCTGCCGTGTGATATTACTGAAGCAGATAGCCAAGTGGGTGTCCGAAAGGCCTGGACATTTGCATGCGTGAGAATAGCATCTGCGGTTATCTCATCGGGATAAAACTGCCAGGGTCATGAAGCCTCTTACTCCAGCATGTGAGACGAGCAAGAGGTTTCATTAACCGTGCTCAGGAAGGAAGAAATTTTTCCTATTGGACTCTGTCAGTTACCCCTGCTGGAGACACGACTGTGGGCTAGATGGGCACTGGGTCCCTCTTTGCAAATGGACCATCCCCGGTCTTGCAGAACAGCGGGACACTGTGTCTCCTCGATGCACAGCTTAGCACCGTTTTCCTCTGCCTGGGTCCCAATCTTTATACTTCATTTAAACAGATGTCCGGCTGAAGGACACAGGACAGCGGCAGAACCAAAACCACTGGGCCGAGAAAGCTCAAAGCCACAAAAATCAACAAGACAAAATGCAACCGATGGCTGATTTTTAGGCTTCTGCTCCCTACTTGCAGCTTCATGAGACGATAAGCAATAAAGCAGAGAATGTCACAGCACAGCGAAGCGCTGGACCACTCTGCTTGACGGGGTCTCTCCTGACAATACAGCCCTTTGTTGCAGTGCAGTCAAACTGAATATCTAAACAAATGTTCCAGACCAAGTTACAGCCCTGAACCAAAGCCTGGATGCCAGCAATGTCCCCAGCAAGCCAAAAATGGGTGGTAAGCAAGCCAGAGGCTTCTTTACTGGAGCTGTGATCTCCATCCTGTTAACTGGAACAGGACAGAGGGTCTGTACTGAGGTCTCAGTACAAATAAGACCTTTGTTGAATTTTGCACAGGGCTCCCTCTCTCTTCTTATAACAACCAAGAACAAAAAAAAAAAGAACAGAAAGGGAAAAAAGCCTTGTTTATTTGCAGAGTCCCCATGCAGAATTCAGCCTCTGCAGGAAATGTATCCCAGGGAGGAGGTAAAGAGTTTAATATCGTTTTTCTGGAAGCAGGCTCCATTTCTGAGCAGGACTAAGCGCGTCTCTGGCTGGCAGCTTTTAGCGGGGTGTGCGTCAACAGCAGTGGTGCTGTCCCTGTGGGTCTTTGGGACTTGCTATCCCACATACCCCAGTCTTCCAAATATATGTATGGGATGCTGACCCACATGTTAGACATAAGAAAAACAACGGGGCAGGAAACATCCATCTGCCCTCCCTCGAAAAATACTTCCCTTGGGAAGCAGGCAGGGCAGCATTCGTTTTGGTGCTGGCTGGTGTCAGCAAGGCACACCAGCACCAAGATATTGCTTGCTGCTGAGGCTGATGGGGAATTTTCCTTCCAGGTTTTCACCTTCACCTCACCCGTACGCTTATAAGAGTGGTTCTTACCTGTTCCTCCAGTGGCATGAAGCATTTTTAAGTGATCTACTGTCATTTGTAGAATTTCTGCCTTCTCCAGCTTGGAAGACCCCTGTGTGTTGGCAGCAGGAAAAAAAGAGCAATTCATCATTTTATGGTCTAGGGTTTTGTGCCTCTCAGGAGCTGGGTTTTTCCCGATGACCTCCTCCCCGAAACCCTCCTGAAGCCCAGGAGTGCTCAGATTGGAGCAGGGCATCGGCTCTGGTTTTTACATCAAGTGAGTAGAAAATGGAGCTCCTTCCCAAGATTCCCTGATGCAAACTGAAAATCCCCATTTCTGTGCATCTTCATATCTGCAAAACACTTTCTGGATTGATTTTATCCTCCCTAGGGCTCCTGAATATTTGTTAATACTGTTTTACCACCCAGTTTCACCACCTACTTACTCCCTGAAGTGATGATGATAAGAAAGACATAGCAATGCTCCAGACTTTCTCATTCTGAGGGCTCTACCCTTACACTGCTGAAATGCAGCCCGCACAGGAGGATGAATGGAAATCACGGACACACACACCTGTTTCTCGAAGGCGGTGGGCACCAGGCGCCGCAGTTCGGAGAGGCTGCTGTTGATGCGGTCACGGCGCCGCTTCTCAATGATCTGCGGGAGATTTCCAAGTGGAGAGAAGAAACCACAGTCGTTTACGGCCACAGCTCACGGGTTTAAAGCCCTCATTAACAGCTATGGCAGGTTGAGAGAGGCGCTTTGAACAGGGCCGTATAAGTAAATGTTTTGGGTGCAAAAGCTGAGCAAAGAAACATTAACTGATTGGTGTGATAGCCCCAGGTGAAATTGCTCTCCTCCACCCCTATCTCCACCCCTTTCTGCCAGATTTGAGGCCAAACCTCTGCAAAAAATCTCCAATTGGCTGTGGGGAGAGTTCTGCAGGAGATGGAGCAGGGAATGGTGTAAAGTCAATTTTGCACTGTGTCCCCACAGTAAGGACGTGCCAACAGCACCCCACCGCACACAGGGATGTCACGGGGAGCCCTGGCACACAGCTGGGACCAGCCTGACCCCCCAGGGAGACACAGCACAACCACCCTGGTCAACGCAAATGAGACTCACCCCTCTCCGTTTCTTCCTGGCTTGTATCTGAGATGTCGTAGTGGGAGACACAGACCTGGAAACATGGCTGGAAAGGAAGAAGAGGGAATCATTTCTTGCGCTAGCTGGAGAGAAACCTCTGTTGCACATATGCTTTACACACGTTTGCCATCTGCAGTTTCCCCCCCTCCCCGAATAATGTCTTCTGTGGTTCCCATCTCATTTTTACCCACAACACAGAGCTCAGGAATTGGGGACAGGGAGCCAAGCAGAGACTCGAATCCCACTCTCTCCCCTCCGAGAGTCTCCCATCAGCCTGGGACAGATTTCTGCACCAAACTGCCCATCCGCTACCAGGCACACGTCCCCTTCAGTCTCAGCCCGTGTTGGCATCTCCACGGGGCTGGAAAAGCAGCGATCCGAGCTCCGGAGTCATGGCCTTTTTTTTTTTTCCTCTCCATGTGCAAACCTCCCGGCTCTCATGTCTTCAGCCCGTGTGGCATCTCCACGGGGCTGGAAAAGCAGCGATCCGAGCTCCGGAGTCATGGCCTTTTTTTTTTTTCCTCTCCATGTGCAAACCTCCCGGCTCTCATGTCTGAGCCTGCCCTGTCTGCAGGGCTTTGCATCTCGGAGCTGCGATAGCGCGAGCATGTATCTGAGCTCCCACCCAGGGCGGCAGCAAAGGGCTGGTTGCTCCTCAGGGTGAGGCTAACGGCAGCGTTGATGTGGTTTCTGAGGGCTTCCTGGAGAGTCGCTTCACAAACCACAATTTTTGGGGTGGGCCGTGATATTCTGAATGTGCGGACACCCCTGAACCAGACAGAGAGGGGCCAGGACCCAGGCAGGGGGAACACCCGGCACGAGGTGATGGGACCCTGCCTGCTGGCCAACAGCCCCGGGGACCAGCTCTAGCTCAAGGGAGACGGGGGGACAGGCTAAAAAGAAGGGTCCCACAAACCATCCTGTGCCTGGTGAGCACGGGTGAGGCTAAAGACACCAAAGGTCAGCACTAGACATGCACGGTGAGGCAAAGTTCAATCCTTAGGTCCCCACAGAGGTGAAGTCTCCGTAAAGATGGATAACCGGCCGTGGGAAACTCCTTGGAGCAAAACCCCTCTGCCTGGGGGGAGGCCGGCTGGGCCACCTTCCACCTCCCCCGAGCGGGGTTTCTCCCTCTGGAAAGCGGGACTGGCTCGGGGCTCTTTCTGCGCCTTACGAAACTTGGCGCAGGGATGTTAACACGCAGGCGAGACGGCAGTCTGCAACCCTGGCCAGCACAGCGCTCCGGAGGGACTCGGAGACCGCATAAGACACACAAATCAGGAAAGGGGCATTTGGGTTCACCCCATCAAATCAAAATATTTTTCAGTTTGACGAAGCATTTTAATAGCAGTCTATTAAAGATGTTTCTGCAGAGACAGTGCTGTCTGCACAGCAAGCCAAAGACTAGACCAAACTCAGCCCATTAAAAATACGTTTTGTTGGGCCCAAGTGAGGTGCTTTCAGAAGTGGTTTTACTGCTGACTGCTCCACTCATCTCCATACAGGTACCCTATTTGAATGTCTGCTGGGTGGGCTTCCTCTGGGCATAGGTGCTGGCTGGCTTCGCAAGTATGAACACGCGTTGCCAGTATACATAAACGCACATATGATGAGCACGTATGATGTGAAAACGGGCTCTGCACGGACGCTGGGGTGTTATAAGTGCAGGGGGTAGGTACTGAATTCGCCTGGCAGCGCAGGAATGTGGAGTACGCGTTCAAGGAGTCCGTAACAGTGAATTTTGAAACTGTCTTTGCAGAGGTGTCCGAACGCATTGCTCTTTGTGAGCTGCAGTTCCAGATGTGGATGTAAAAACCTAGCTTACTGCAAAATATATTTTAAAAGCATGTTTGACAGATTTGAACCACATAAAAGATACCGTAACTATATTCTCTGATGATTAAAATTTCTGCATTGCTCTTTGCTTGATTTTATAATTTACAGCATAACTTTGGCTTTTTATTCAAAACAAAAAGCAAAAAAACCCCCCCAAACCGAGCAGTATCTTGCACTTCTGCAGTGACCCCAGAGTCTAAACTTGCTACACGCACTGAACCAAGCCTCACACCCAGAGTGACTCACCCCCGCTCTACGGGGGAACTGGTTTGCCCAAACCACGCGACCGATGGGTAATGGGGCTGGGAACCCCGGCCAGACAGCCTGACTGCCTCCCTCTGCCCTAATCGCTCCACCTCGCTCCCCACCTGGAAGTGTTTCATTTTGCCCGATCCGCCAGCGCCCCATGCAGGACCGCATTACTCGGGGTGTAAACTCGTCAGGGCAGGAACAGCTCTTTTGGCCATGTGTTTGCGTGACATGAGCAACAACATAAATGTATACAAATACCACCAGATCACAGCGCTGCCCGGCTCTACGACTGGCTTGAGAAGACAAACGTATTAACAGCACCAGAGAGAGATCAAAAAATTAATTGTTACTGTTCACTGAAATAAAATATTATGACAATTCCTCCATTTCATCCATCGGGGTACTACAGACTCAGTGTGCTGCGCTGATGTAAAGAGGTGGGATATATTTCACCTGCAGCAGGAAGGTAGGTTAAATATTGATGCACTTGGAAACTCTCTGAGGGGTTGATGAATTTGTGTAGGACATTATGTGTTGGACATTCCCAACTCTGCCCGTGACCGTATCAGCGAGAAGCAGACTCATGAATTTAGTCCCACGAGAACCTGAGCTTGGCACCGGGCAGGGCGACTTCTCCGCTCAGGATACCAAGCAGCAAGAGGGAATGAATTCATCTGGGGCCTCGCTGGACACAGAGGGAAGGGGGACACTTCGCTACTGAAACAAGAGTTTAAAAGCAGCTGATTTTTGGACGAGAACAAGTAACAGAGCCCTTCCTTCATCCCCAGCGCCGTCTGCACGCTCAGAGCCCGGGCATGCCCGCGAACGGCTGACACAGCATGGGAACCCGGGCTGCGAGCGGTGGCTGGGGATGCCCTTTGCCAGCAGAGCCGCAGCCCAGGGGAACGCGGTGCGAAGCCCGAGGCCAATGCTGGGGAACCACGCAGAGGTCCTGTCCTCGCTATTTCACCAAGCGGCAAAGCCCTGGAGCCAAAACTGCAGCTCAGCAGCGATGGGATGGAGCCTGCGAACTGTGCAGGCTTAAAGCAGGGCACCCTTCGCTGGCCAGACTGCACGGGCTCCCTCTTTAACAAAGATCAAAGCCCCAGCTGGTGCATTACAAATGCATCAGCAGAGCAGAAGCGTTTCTCATGTAAAACCTCCTCGTTTCGTCCACGTTCCCCGGGAGCCCTCGGATCGCTGGGACTGCAGCGGCATCCAGGCAGCTGACGGGTGCCTTTGCGCTGGGGGGGGAGAGGGGGGGCTGCCCCATCTCGGGGTGCAGAGCCCTGCGAGCAAGCAGGCTCCCGCTAACGAAGATCAGAGCCGCCCGTCTCCCCACCGGGCAGGAGAAGGCAATTGCGCTGGCTTTAATGAGGCATTTTCTTGACTGCAATCAGCTCGTAACACAGCTTTAATCCTTGTATTACGACTTGGGTTTCCTTGCTGGGTCAGTCCTAACGCCAGCACCAGCCCACACTTGCACGCTGGAGTGATCCCACACACCCCCCCCCGCCCGTCCTTGCCGAAGGGGTTAAGCGAGGTGCCAGGCGACTCCCGGCGAGTCCGTGGCGGAGCCCGGTGCTCTCCCGTGCCATGCCCCGGCAAGCACCGAACTCGGCCTCCCCGAGAAGCTCGCGGGGAGCTGCTGCAAGCCCCGGGGCAGAGCAAACGCCGCGCCCGGTGCCGGGGACCCCCGCTCCAGCCCGGGCTCCCCGCAGGATGCCGAGCTGCCCCGCAGCAGGGACCCCAAAACCCGACTTCTTCCCACCGCCCCGGCCGCCGTGGGACGGACCCGTCCCCCGGGAGGGAGCTGCCGCCGGCAGCGTGTCCTCACCTGTACTCCTCCTCCCGGCCCACGTCGATGGTGCCGTCCGACTCCGTGTCGGACGAGCTCTCCTCGCACAGCCGCTTCATCCTCGCAGGCGGCGCCGG